ACACACACACACACACACACACACACACATATATATATATATATACTTATATATATATATATATATATATATAACTGTATAATTGTATATATATATATATATACACACACACACACACACACACACACACACACACACACACATATATATATATATACATATATATATATATATAAGCACAGAGTGGGTAATATGATTATGCTTTTCAGCGCTTTTCGTGACAGAAAAATATCACACAGATATGTCTATGTGCAAATATAATTCAACTATGCATACGTATATAGCACATGCCGTTTGTATAATTGGTGGTAAAAAGAAGATTTGACTGATAGACTGACCACATTGTACCTGCGTGAGAAGATCGTACTCAGACTGAAGTGAAGCCGTGCCCTTTGCGTTAGTTTGCAGCAAGATTGCTTGTTCCCGCATATTTTCTGATGTAATCGCTACCGTACGATCCTTCTCTGACAACATAAGCTGCATCTGCTCGAGTTCGGTGCCCTTGAGACTCATTTGAGTCTCGAGTGAGGCTACAAGAGCCTTCTGTTGCGACAGATCATACTCAATGGCGGCTGATTGAGAGATTCACAGCGAAGGGATTTATAGCGGAATACGAAAAACCGGGTTGGAACGGGAAAAAATTATACAACAACTTCCATCTAAACTTGAAAGTCGAGGTTAGGTGTATAGTAGGTGGAAAGCATAGCTATATACGACTTGTGGTACTTAGTTTAAAATTCCCCTACAATACACACAGGTGAAATAGTATATTACACATAATCTCATCACATCCATGTCTAAAGACTCACATTTTTCCTGCTCGAGCACTCTGCGCTGCTCGCCGTCGGCAAAGGCATCCTCTCGCATCTTCACCAGATTAGCCTCCCGATCTGATACCTGTCACGAGTGTTGAGGTGACAAGCATAAACATTGAAGGGACCAGGGTACATGCGAGGACGTAGAATTTAGAAGATCGCAATATTATGCAACATGAAGCTGAATGGGACCAAATATGGGCTGTTATGGAGGGGAAGCAGTATAATTCAACAAGCTCGAAGAATGTGGGAGGGAGGAGGGGGAAAATAACACCTGAAGTGGCTGTAAAGGTGAGAGGGAGGCAATAGAATACAACATGAGGAATAAACTGAAAACAAGCGACATCGTGCTAGTTTTGAGGAGAGGAAGGTTGAAAGGTTTACGATGTTCTGAATGCAACGAACCCAAAAAAGCACCTAAATAGTTGCAGATAGCCAATGGTAGTCTGCAATCAACCATAGATGCAATAGAAATGAGGATATTTAACGATATATTTTTTATTTTGAAAGGAGGGAGAGGGGGGGAAAAGAGAGGATCTGAAGAACACAATAGTTCGAACAATGAAACCAAACGACACTTGTAGCAAACATATAGATTGCGGCTACAGGTGTGATATTTAAATCAGGTTAAAAATTTGAAAACCGACGAAATTGGATAAAGTGTATCGTTTAAAACCTGAAACGTGGAAAAACTCGCAGAGTACCGAGAGATGAAAAAACAGTGTTGTTAATAGCCATAGACCAGCAGATATGAAGATACGAGCATTAATCTGTGGATATGCAGCAAGCACGGAGCTACCCCGCCATTTTTAAATGATTTTATAATAGGCTGAGAGCTTCTTGCTTCAATAAGCGGTCCAAGTGTTGAGAAAAGGGAAGCATGAATGATGCCTCGTATGTATGTAGCACACACGCGTGGCTCTTTGGAGCCCTTAATCATGTCAGGAAAATTCTCTCGTACTCGATACTGAAGAATAAAGATACATATGATAGAACTGATCCGTTGTATAAGCAAATTCTGATGGGTGCCCTAGAACTATATATCGGTGATCGCATACCTCCATTTCAAGGGTAGCGACGAACTCTCTGCTCTTCTCGAGCTGGGTTGTCAAATCTGCCAGTCGCTTGTGCAGGCTCTCAACCATCACTTTGACTGATGACAGTTTTCGAAGATACGAAAGCATCATCATCTATGCTGATATACCATCCACTTTCAACAATTCCGCACACTCTCAAATAGTAGCCGCTTCGAATCTCCTCTCTCATCACTTTTGCACGATGTGCTGTCGCGCCGTTGTGCTAAACTATTTCAAACCGCATCACAAACCTCGATGTGCCTGAGTGCACAATAACTAAACATTCTGCTATTGAAGCTTTAAATGTACCTGCCGCCCGTGGTTGAGCATCGACTGTCGTATAGTAGAAATGATGCTGAATACACTGATGAGCGCGGGAATCAACTTAAATGCATATCACGACAAACTCATACAATTATGTCCACACTACACGGTTTGTGCACCTTTCAACTACATCATATTACCAGAACATACATCACACATCGTATTGCCAGAACATACATAACTTGCAAATAATGTAATTTGTGTCTTATAGAGTCCCCGATCACTGCTGTACATTCCTGTCGGCAATCTGAATAACATACACGCCGCAGATTCTTTTTCCCTCGATTGGCTCAGTTCAGCAAAATCCTTGGACAGAGTTTCAAAAGCTACAGATCGATAGAGATACAAATTAAAGAAACAGGCGCATGAGATAGATAAAAATATACTCTTTATGTCAGAAAGGGCTATCTTGCATTTTAGTACATATTGAAGCGATAAAGTTCTGATAAATACAGATACTCGATAGGTGGCACGCATGCACGATGTCATCGACGCATCAAAGTCACTCAACCACACCGTAAGGAGAAAACAGTTGCATCGACGTATTGAAAAACCATAATGAGTACATGCAGGATACTTTTACTGATAAAGTTGTCAGTGTAAATGCTACATCATATTAGATGGATGAACAATTTTCTGATTCTGGAATCCTGGTTGGCTAGTTTCGACCTGTTGTATTAATGGGATCGAAGTATTCGATTGGGCTTGACTTACGGGTAACCAAACAACTTTGTCTTAAATCCGTCCACTCACGTGTTGGTAATACTACAACATTGAAGAAGGTTGTGCATTCAAGACACAAAATAAGCATCTGAGATAAAGAATATACAAAGAATATGCCTTTTTTTATGTACGGAACAACTTGAAGTGTACTTATATTGAATCAAGCAGCAGGTTTACAACTTTCGGCACACATTTTAGTTCTTTACTTTCTTATTGAATATGAATACAGAAAGAATAATACTACGAATAAAAGTCCCTTGAACATGCACAGTGAAGCGAGTTTTGTCCACACAAATATGATAAATTTACGCAGAGCAATTGGTATATTATATCTATGCACAGGATACATTCACGTGCTCTATACCAACTCGAACCCGCTTGAGCTCGCGTTTGATATCGTCTTTGTCCTCCTCTCCTGTTGGAAGGGCCGGTGATATACAGATAAATCGATATTGCAATTTTCTCAAGGACATATAGCGATACTAACGCACTAAATAATCTGCAAAATGTAGTGAGAACGAGAGACGTACAATAAATCTAGATCTTGGGGTCGAGTACAACTTACTCTAAAAATCTCCCAAGAAAATGTACTACAAGCAGTGCCTAATATAATTCAAGTGCGATGTGATATGGCAATCAGTGGCATATTTCACATAGTTGAGTTAGTAAGTAATCTCGCTGTGCCAACTATGTATTGAATTCGGGCATGAAGTTAAGCAGCGGCAAATACGATAGCATGCCCCTTATGTTGAGTGGTAAATACTAATCTAGAATCCATTTATCTTAATAGCAGAAGAATAGACGACCAATTGTGTGCCTCAAATTCATGGAATTTCAAATATATACACAGCTATACTGGCTTTTCTCTGAAGTCGACAAATGAGTGGCAAGCGAGTAATGATACATGTTATTCTAGCAATACCTAGTGGTATAGGTTGAAATAATTCACAAAAGTATTGGTGCCAATTACATTTGACAATAATAGATAGAAACTAGTCAGTATATATAAAAAGCAAACCCAGGTTTTAAAGTATAAACGGTAGGAACGAGAGGCAATACAATCGATCAGCATATCCCCAGGCATCCTACCTTTTGCAATCACCTCGTCGATGTTGGACATCTTCTCTTTCAGACTTAGGCATAACGTGTTGATACTCTGGATTCTGTATAGTGTGGAGGAAACGAGCTTCGTGTGAGGCTTTCATCTCGAAATGCCACAGTAATATAGTTCAGAAAATAATCGAATTCAATGATACTGCCAAGGAACAATCATGTTTTGATCAGCAACGAGAACATGCTCCATATTGGTAACCAACAAACTGCCAGATAAAAAGCGCAAAAAAACATGCTTGCCTAAATTGACAAACATATCGTTCATGTTTCGATTGTGATAATAGACGAACTGCATTATGGTTTGCTGGACAGCCGATGAACGTACAGTATCGTTTCCAAATACTGTGTAACAACAAATTTCAAGTTAAAACAAACCATGTCGATTACCCAAACGAAACGAGATCAAGATATGCAGTACTCACATACTTGCGTAGAACCTCGTCCCTTGACTTGAGCTCTACTTGTAGCTTACGCTCGAGATGTCCACACCGCTTTTGCAGCTCTTGCAGTCGCGAATTCTGCTCCTTCATTTTGACCTCATATTCGCCGATAGTTTCGTTCTGCAATCGTCATTTGACAGAAAGAACTATATTTTATGTGCATGTATTTATATGTTTACTATTTATAACATATACCATATGTATTAACCGGCGTGTGGGTGCGTATGGGTATGTGGATGAGTCATATGTATGTGCAGAACATGACAGTAATTGCTTAGTTCTATCTTTCTCAGTAGTGCCTGGCTGAACATGCCTGTACTATTCCTCAGGAAAGTCTATTTAGAGTGTCGATGCGGATAACCTCCCGGGGTACATGCTACAACGTGTATAAAACTGACGACGCTATACTATCCGAAAGCACCAGACAAAGTTTGTATCGATTTGTATACGTAATTCGTATGCTCCACTAGCGCCTAAGCGTGAAAGGCAAGTGCTTTGATTGACACATCGATAGATCGATACAAGTTCTACGCACATAAAAATATTATATGCGTATACATATATGGAAATATACACTTGAGTACCATAATCAGAGTGCACATACCTGCTGCGCAATCTTGCACTCACTCTCCACGTGCGTCTGCTTGAGCTTCTTCATACCCTCCAACAGAGCTCCAAAGGATTGCTGTGGCTTCTCAAATGTTTTGGTCTTCGTGTACAGTGCATGTGTCTGTATATGACCTGGTGCATGGGACTGTGTTTGGGCTTGAACTTGTGCCTGTGGTTGGTGGCTTAGAGCTTGTTGACTCTGTTGTATTACTTGGGGTCGCAGTTGATGACTCATGGTGCCAAGTGTGGGAGGCCGCACAGCCGTTCTGAGCGTGTCATGCTGTTGTTTCCCGGTGGCTGTTGGGACAAGTTCTATAAACAAAATCGATTGCGACCACCAGATAGAGATAACAATTTGTCAGCATCAGTATTTCCAGTACATTTCATGACAGAGACACCATATTGCGTTGATACCAAAAAATTGACAACCATCCAGTATTACTGCTTGAACAATGTCAAAGATATGTACGAAGATGCACATGCACATGCACACTACAGAAACTAGCGCACGGAAAAGCGCACTTGTCAGGTCACTCACGAGATTATGCACGCTGGAAACATAATATCAAAACAATACTAAACCAAGAACTTGGTACACATCGCTACCTTGATACATCAGCTGTGTAAATTGAAATCCGATGACATCTGCCACCAAACTCTAGAGATGCATGTAATGTGACAATATTTCGTAATACAATTACACGCATGTGCGTATGCACGACCAACGCAATACTCACACGTACCAGCCGATTGCATCGCGGCCTGCTGTAGTCCAGGAGCCAACTGCGCACCTACACCTGTACCCGCGCCCACCAGTGCTGAGCTCTGAGTCGCACTCACCCCCACGTCATGCCTATTCATCTCCGTCTGTTTTTGCTGCTTTTCGCGCATTCCCATAGCCACATCTTTCGCGTGCTGGACATATGCGTACGCAGTAGCATTTAGGCTAGTCGAGTGTGTACGTGTGTTGCCAGCGTTTGTTATCCCCTGTCTGTGTGCGGATGCATTTCGACCAGAGATGGGGTTTGCTTCACCCATATTGCCACTAGTAGCTGCACTTGGAGCACCCGAAGCCGCCGCAAACGTGGGTGCCAGATTGCGACGGATCTCATTGGAGTCTCGGGGTCGCTGTCTCTCGTTCATATTGTCACAATCTGCTGCGGAGAGTTTGAGTTATTTTCAGAGAAAACTGAATAAAAAAAATATAACTGTATGAGAATGGTTGAAAGTGGGTGTGGGAAATCAAGGTTTAGCTTCGATTTGGACTGTAGTGGCCAAAGTCGCGTAAATAATACGAGATAATTCGCTGTGCTAGTGCAATCACAGGGTTAGAATGAAATAAGTTCAGGATCCGGGAACGTATACTGGAGTCAGTCGTGGGTGATGAATTCTAGCACGTAGTGAATAGGAGAATAACTGAAATCACTAGCACTACGTTTGATAATCGTGTGTCCAGCTACGGTGCACCAACGATAACTCCGCTACTGATGGGTTAAATGCAACGATACAAGCAATTCTAACATTATATGATAGCTGAATCTTGGAATGTTACATAATACCAAGACGGAAAATCATAAAGAACACACCAGAGGTGTCATTGGTAGAGTGTCAGATTGCACTTGGTTTTTTAAAGTCGGTGCGACGGAACCAAGTCGGGGAGTATCGAAGAGAGCTGAAATTCGTGAAGGGTGGGTTTGGCCACCTAGTCATTAGACACGATAAATGTAATTCTTAAGCAAATAAAATCTCACACAAAGTGTAAGTGCCAACTCATACTCATTGAAGATTCGTGAAGACGTCAGGAATTCCACCAGTTCGTAAGATATCAATGGACAGTGCTATCCTTAGTGAAGTTTGAATCCATGGGGGTAAAGTACAGGAAATGAGAATACATATTTTGGTGAACGATGGTGTCTGACTATACTATAGTAGTTGTCAACATGTTTCAAAGAATGATGAACCGTGTCTGTTTTCTGTTTTCAAAAGGGCAATGGCCTTTCAATATAAATCCTAACAGAGCTCAGCTCAAGGCGTACTTCGTACAATGGATAGCAACACGGCTGTTCTGCAAGCTTTACAAGCGCAGAAAACCACTTTCATAGTCGAAGATACTGAGGAGAGTTTTTATATAGGTGTTGTCGTCGAAACGAATATATTCAACAGCTAATTCAGTCAAAATCCTGGTCGTGCTGGAACGTCATTGCTGACAATCGAATCACCGTGCATACTACAATATATTTATTTGTTTCGATACCCAATGCACCACTTCACCCTGAACATACAGCAAGCAAAGGAAGCACATCAATATAGCCCTTCAATTTAATCTAGACACACCATATTCAGCATCACAAGCATCACTGACACGCATGGAACGGATACACACAAAGAATAGCTGAATATATAGAGCTACGCTCCTAAGGTTGAAATCGTTCACAATCCTTGCACAACTGACGGCGAATCTGTACAGAGCTTTCTAAGCCATCCCGGAGAAAAAGGGGGCAAGTCTAGATACATAGATCAATTTTTTTGTTCTCTGTGTATCTCGAATTTCAGGAAAATACATAGAAATAGCCAAAACACACAAGCCCATTACAAAATACTACTTAATGTTTTTCGAACAAGGCATTTCGAACTAATCCCCAGTACATGGAAACTACGAAACTATATACGCGCATCGAAGAATACCATTGGGTACCCGTCGTCGTATTCATCTCACCTACGCACGTATAACGATTCTAAAATAACTCCTAATTCTGGCGGATCTGTTCCCAAACACATATATGCTGTCACGTTAAGCATATGGTAGAGACTCTTCAATGAAATAGTACAACAATTTTGGGATATAACTTCTGCAAATTGCTTTAATAGACCACACGATATCATGGTATATCATAGTGAAAAGACTATTATATGAGATAGAATTGGCACACCTCGTTTACTTGCTCTTACTCGCGCTGTCGATTGTGTCTTTGAGACACGCTCAAGCGAAACTGGCAATATTGTTTTTAGCCCTATCGCAAACGAGTAGGTCCGTTGGTACTGTACCCCACTTACAGTGACAGAGCTACACCATACAGAATACCGTAAGTACTTACTAACGCATGCTACTTAACACGTGCGTGTGTCTTGTAAGCTATCTGCGAAGGTGTGGTGACTGGCCTCGTATCTTCTGATATATGTACATAAATTTTTTGTAAGGTGCCACTTTCGTGTGCGTGTTGAAGCTGATTATAAAATGGCGCCTAATTTTATTTTATCCAAAAGCGGAAGGATTCAATTTGTACATGAAATTTGAAACAAGTGTGATCAAGCTCAGAATATGTTTCAAACTGATTCTTCATTGCGTACTAATTATGGCACATCTCTACGATAGAATTGATTTACGACAATCATAAAAGTTTTAGTACAAATAGTTATAAAATCATGAAGAGTAAACAAAATGATTGGCTCAATTTCACGCTCAAGCCTCAACTCTAGGCCCTCAACAAGTCCTCAACTCCAAACGGAAATCCAGGGCCGACAAACTTTTGTGGGGGCTTGGGGGCTTTGGCACTTTGGCTCGAGTCTTGCCTATCGCGAGAGAAGCACAGCCCACAAACCTAACCTCATCACGTATTACGTTGCAACGTTTTCAAATGAAAAAGTAAAAGTAAAAAGTTAAACTTTTTCCTATATATTCGTAGTCCTAAAGCTACCCATAAGAGCACTGTTCAGGTCAGAGTTTTGTCCTAACCACATTACCTAACTATTGCCCGCCCAACCATCGGTTCTGGAGACTTGAGCGTTGGTTGAGCGTTGTCAAGTATATTAGCCCGCTACACTGTCCCTTGATATTGACGTTGTTCATATTCTAGAAGTTAAGGTATATATAATTGATAGAGATATCTAGGATTTACAGTCTACAGGCAACAGGCTACATAGTCTACCAAAACGATTAGTTTTACTTTTATGTGTTCTTAGTGACTTAGTGCCTAGTGACTAGAGTGACAACTTCACGTTTACAAGTGCTATATTGTCAGATAAAAAAAAGCAAAGGTAATCACTTTCTAGTTGTTTTTCATTGGTCGGGTTTGTATTTCGTGGCTAAAAGTGTGAGAATAGGTGCACTATCGTGGGCAGCAAATCGAAATAATTGAGGTCCGAATTGTAACAGTAAAACGTTGCAACGTTTTCAGACGAAAAAGTATAAGTTTAACGCTCAACTTATATATCAATATAGCTTAACTTAATGAGGTTAGCCACAAGCCCGGGCCACAACTCACAAACATTGTAGCTCGGTTTTGCACGTGGACATTGAATGTTTACAAACTCGTAATATCAGGTAGTGTTTCGAGGCATATAAATACCCATGAACAAACTCATTGAATATTTCAAGTCTTTAGGTCAATACCTAGGACTGCAACATTTTAAATATGTGTTATTATAGTGGTGAAGATATGGTTTTTCTTAATCCTGAGCATTTCGGTGCACAGATGAGTATAACCGAAGATAACTGAGCTATACACTTTAACTACACAATATTAAAATTCCCTCATTAAAAGTATAAAAAATATTAATCGAGTTTCTTCAACACATTATTTTGAAGACTAAATATTCTTGTCTCGTAATAAAGAGGTATGAAACATGTTGAGTAACAATTTGGCTTGTTTTTAACATAAGAATGAACGGAACCGAAAGCTCACCTTGTGAGGGGGCATCGCGAGCACCGCGATGACACGTCGTATCTGAGGACAGAGTGTTGTCAACAGATGGATATAGCAATAACCAACCAACTCTTAATTCTTGGACACTGTGATGATTATAATACTACACAAACTGAATGCTGGGCGCTGGCCCAAATCATGTCACGAACACGTGCATGTAGTAATCATCTTTTTTAAGTAAATTCCACGTGGTTTCAATAACTCGTGATATAACCTCTTCGTCAATTGCATATAAATAATATCTTTCACACTCGTTGGCTATTTCAAGTCTTTAGGTCAATACCTAGGACTGCAACATTTTAAATATGTGTTATTATAGTGGTGAAGATATGGTTTTTCTAATCCTGAGTGCCTCGGTACGCAGAGGAGCATAGCCGCAGATAACTGAGCTATACACTATAATCGGACCCATTCCAATTATCATAAATTCTAATAAATAATGAAACACGCGAAGCATTGTTCTTTCACGTCCCTTGCATTCTCCGTGTATAGAAGATGAGATGTTATAGTTGATAGACTGATCACACAAACATGACATCAGCACCCAGGCATCCAACGTGAGACACAAATAAATAACAACACCATATTAGTGAGTAGCTTCTCCGCTTATCAGTTTAAATCCCACTGATCCACACACGCACGACGCATGCATAGTTTCAATAGATGAATAGAGTCGCAAAACAATCAAACTTGACATTTTCAACTAGTTTATAGACTTCCATGATGGTACGTTTGTCAGTTCACAATGCAAGTCACATTTATGACTGCGTACTGCTGCGAAATAGTTATGTGTCGATCGAATGTGATCCCAGTGTCCACCTGCGTCTGAACAGTTGACAAGGTTAGCAGCTGCATATTAAACGCCCCTTCGAAGTCAAATATATTCTCAACCCGAGTTTACAAAGAAACCTTAGCTTAAGTCTTGAAATATTGTACACCGCTGACAAAACACCTTCCTTAATAAATTTGGAAAGAGGTACACGTACTAGTAGTGTGCGGACGCAGGTTGCAGCCAATGTGATGGAAGCGAATTTGCGGAACTCATATAGCACCACACCAGTCCGTACTCATCTCGACATTCAAAAGCAAAAGTTAAGTCGAATTTAAGTGCGTGCGATCTTGTACAATGTGAGATGTGTTTATAATGCAGCGTATCCACACTTTGCGTGCAAATAAAAGTACAGTTTAAGGGTTACCCCCTGCTGCGTTTGGCAGAGTACGCTTTAGAAAAAAATCTCGATACAGCGCCAGCTTGTCTTTCTTTCTAAATTCGTGTTCATATCCGATCCAGACTGATCCAGAGGCTGTGTATACATAGTATTCAGCTCGATAAATTACTTATTCCATAGGCTTCGCAGCCAAGTTTGCGATAACATTCATTCCATCTTTCATGGAAAAGTGTATGCAACTTAACTTGAGTCAATTGTCCCAACACCTTCGATACAGGGTTGTCGCGTACTCTTCGAAGCAGCGAGTTGAAGCGGTGCAATCTCGCACGGTGTAGTTTGCTAGAAGCACCTAAGTACTATTGATTCACGCACATCGTATATTACAGCAGCAGTACGTATAAATATCGGCGGTGAGGCACGCACTTCATCGGCAGAGGGTATTTAAAGGAGCATATCAGTGGTTGTGTATTGGTACCTTTGTTGGGCTTTTACTGTGGTAATAAGTTAATTTCCTCGGGAACTACTCTGTGATTGTATATACGCTAAATATCAACACACTCGCCACACAGCAAAAGTAGGAAACTAAACAGCTTTGAGCCTAATCAGTCTCTACACAATGTGGTATTTTGGAATGCAAAGGGTGGTATATGATCCTCCAATCCTCACTGAATATAAGAGATATAGTTCCACACGCCAGGTAGGTTGCGGAGTGTCCTGAATCGCTTCCGGGTCATAGATGGTAGCAGTTGGAGATGTCCTCCCATGTTTTCAAAATCGCTTGCTTGTGGGTTTCGCCTAACGTAGCCTCACTTGCGCGGCAGTACTTTATACACAGGCCAGTCCTTGGTGTCACGTACGAGCTGTGTAAATGTACAGGGTGTTTAGGTGCTATGTATGATATGCTGCATCGATACTTAGTATGCTAGTTGTATCGTGGACTGTCATGTACCTCGAAGCATTATGAGTTGTCTTTTCGTCTTGACGGCTTGTGCGTTCTCAAGAATATCGCGTAGTGGACTTTATCTATCCGTAATAGCTTGAAATTTGCAAAAGTAGTAAGACACGTGTCTCTGAATACGTTTTTCTAATTTGACATCATACGCATATTGACCAAATTGTTAATCGTGCAATCTCACCAACATACGAACAAATTGTATTTGCTAACGCAATGTTTCACACAAACACGCCCAGCTCAAATATATATTTTAAAAGCATATATGAATCCATGATCTCCATGGTTGACATACGTCCAACTCCCGATGCAAAAATCGCAAGCAAAAATTACATTGTGGCTCTTCAGTACCTCAAAGTAGCCTTTTCTGGCCGCCGGGTCTGCTACGGCCTGGCAGCATTTCTGTTTTGTTCGTGTCGCAGGTGATGGTGCAGAGCCGTCTTCACCCATCTAGACACATCCAGATACAATTAATTCGATAGAACAGTTTTTCAAATGCAAGTAAGTAGGGTGGGACACCAGGGTCCGAGAATACAATCTGAACATAAAAGTGACAGTGAACTTTGTTGCATAAGAAACGAACATAAATTCTAAGTGGAGCGAAAGCTTTTAAAAATATTTGAGTAGTAGGGAGAGAATAATAAGGGAATTCTCGAGCATATATGGCTTAATATCAAAAAAGGTATCGAATCCATATATTACGACTAATACATACATACATACATACATACACACACTCTCTCTCACACACACACACACACACATATATATATATATATATACATATATATTTGTATATATATATATAAGCATATACACACTCACAGACGCACACACACACATATATATTTATACAT